CTTGTGCGGTTTGTCTAGCAAGGTTTGGGTTTCTCCTGTGTGTTTAATGTTCTTCCTGTGTGGGCGCAGGCATTTGTCTAGTTATATTCTCCATCTTTCACGATGACAAAGACCTTGTAGAAGTAAAGGTCCAAAAACAGTCTTGTTGACTACATATATGTTTGATTTTGGGATTATTGCGGTCTTTTACCTGCAAGCTTGCTACCAGCAACCAGAATATATTTCATGCGCGGTTAAGTTTGGGCACTTTCTAGCTGTCTGGGACAACTGGGCTGGAGATACTGACGGTGCTGTTAGTGCCTGTTGCTGTAAATTCAGACCACCAAAAGTTGATACTGTAGCAATCAGCGTTTCCATTTCTGACATCAGTATAAACAGAAAAAAACCGTTCTAGAAGGCGCATAGATCTGGAACCATGGTTGTCAAGTGTGGGACCTGGGATGGACCAAATCGAGATGCAAGAACATATTTTGGCAGTTCGATTTTTACCAAGAATGATAGGAGCTGCCTTGGATGCTTTGAACCCTTTTAGAGGTAAACGATTAAAGGGCAAACCCGTGTATAGCCAACAGAAGGAATGGGTTCCTTTTAGGTGGGTCTGCTGAAGTGAATGGCCAACAAATTGCACACAATTGGTGGAACAGGTTCGCATTTGCACCAAGCTCAATTTTTAAGCTTTGGAGTGCGCAATCCGTCATTCTTTGGCGCTGCAAAGCATGTCTTGAGTAGTAGCGTACTGCTGTTTAAATCGAATGGTTCTTCCTTGCACATTTTTTTCAAAAGGTATGCTGCAAGAGAAAAATATGTAATAGAATTGCCATTGTATCAGCCAGGAACCAAAGACCACATAATTGCACTATTTGCTGTATATAATATAAGATCGTGCCGTCTATCTCCTTAGCTGTTTTCACAGCGTATTTTATTTATCTCTCACACTCCTATGTCAATCCGATTTTTGCTTGTTTGCGTTTTCCTGGCATATTTGCTTGAACAACCATGTGTAGGTACTCCTAAGACATTTTGCGGGATGTGGTGTGTGTGTGTGTGCTGCCTCGTTACCCTCACTGCATGCAGGTTATGTAGTGACCCATTTCTTGTTGCCAATGAAAACTGCGTGATGACATTCATCAAGCATTATTCTCTGCTTCTTCTGTGTCGTCACGTGCAAATCTGAGTTGGTTGAAGAGTTTATTAAGTTAAGTTAATATCTTTCGGACCTATAAATTTGCGAAAACCATATGAATCTAAATCTTGTGCATCGATCAAAAATATCTATATAAACCATTTAATCGTGGATTCAGCTTTTGAAACACGTACATCCCTATACACATTGCTCATTCGCAGACCTACTGCTTAAAAGCGGCATTTGTGAAATTTAGCACCTCTTCCCATCACAAGTTGTCAATTGGAAACAGGCCCTGAACAATGAATAACAGGTGATCACAACATTGCAGGTACACCAGGGTGATCAGCCCGGGCTTCCACCATCATGCATAGCTTCGTTGGCATGCGTTTGCATGATGGCCCCATGCTCCTGCAGAAACAGATAAAATTAGAAGTTATTTTACATCTCTTCAGATGGTTCACACACTTGCTCAGAACAATCTTTGCGAATTCTGATGTGGAATGCAACGGACGTGCAAAAACACCAACAATAAATTGACACGAAGAATGAAAAAAAGTGTATAATTATATAAAATAATATATAATATGAAGACGTATAATCACAGTAGACAATGGCCATATAAAACAACAGCGATAAATAAATAAATATATATATATATACCTGCATCTTCAAAATGGTGCTAAATTTATGCCTTTTGCTCGAAAAATAGGTTTTCCGAAAGAACAACATTTTTTTTGCGGAACGGCGTTTTTTGAGATTTTCCAAATAATGTTAAATATATGATTTTGCAACGGCGACATTGCCCGACCAAACGGCGACATTACCCGACCCAACGGCGACATTACCCGACCACATGGAGAGACATTTTTTACAACGGCGTTTTTTTTGCAAAAAAACTTTTCTTTACAAGAACTACTAAAATTTCTGCCTTTTGGAGCAACGGCGGAAAAAAGTACCACATGGAAGATGTAGGTATGTCCCCCCCCCCGCTGCGTCTTATATGCGCCCAGGGGCGGGACTATCTATATATATATATATACATATATATATATATATTATAGAGCAGGTACGTTTTCACAGGTACCCAGGGGGTGTCTTCGTTGGCCACCGACCCCCTGGGACCCCGGTGGCCCCCTGCAGTAAAATGAAGTTTTACATCTATGCAGATGGTACACACACACACACACAACTTTGTCACACACAACTTTGCCACAACCAAGTGACACAACATTGTCCAACATAACTCTCCTACACACAACTCTCACACGCATAACTCTTCCACATTCTTCCACACACAACATTGTCACACACAATTCGTCCACACGCAGCAAGCGTGGCATTTATGGCGTTGGGCTGGGTCAGGTGGCGCGCTTGGTCGCCCACGACGTCGCGTCCCTCTGTTTGGCAGGCGTGGCATTTGGTGACATTACTGCTCCTCTTGTGTGGCAGGCGTGGCACTTATGGCACAATTCTTCCACACACAACTTCTTCCCACGCGACTCTTTCACACACAACTCTTTCCCACACCACCCTTTCACACACAACTCTTTCCCACACACCTCTTTCACACAAAACTCTGAAATCTGTCACCCATAACTCTTTCTTCTTCCATACGCAACTCTTTCATGAAAACTCTGTCACGCATAGCATTGTCGCAAACAACTCTGTCACACGCAGCTCTTTCACACACAACTCTGTCACACACAACTCTTTGACACACAACTCTTTCACAAACAACTCTTTC